ACTCACAACTTTGGTGCTCCGTAAATATTAGTGTTTTTAAGGGCTACCCAAGGGTACTGCAGGGGTCATTAAGCGTGTCAGGGTAGTGAACAATCATTGAAGAGATTTACAAGTTGCCCTGAGCCACATAAATGTGGGGAGAGCCACAATTTTATAATTGAACTTGAAAGTGATATTTGGTGGCGCAAGGCAGGGTGGGCACACCTAGTGTGCTCCAGGCGACGTGACCACGTGTCACCCAAGAAAGATGATAAACTGAAATAAATGTGTGACCAGTGAATGAAGTACAGTGAATAGGTTATATTATACATCGACAAGAAACGGAAGTGGATATACGCCAAGACATCACATCGAGTTGGACTATCTACAGGCTGCTACAGGCTGCATCGCAAGTACCTCACATATGCGTGGTTTTTGGGGAACCGGGTGTGAGTTCCAATTAACCGCCAAGCTGCTTGTGAACTGTCCAACTCTTCTAGTACGATAAAGAATAGGATATCAAGTACTCAATAGCGAATATTATATATATATATATATATATATATATATATATATATATATATATATATATATATATATATATATATATATATATATATTATACAGAGTCCATTAGTTATCAAGCAGTTTTCGCTTACATTATCCCAGATTCACCAACTCGACTCGAAACTGTTTGCCGAAGCGCTAAGTGTCCTCCTGGGAGCTGCTGGAGAGATGCAGGGTAAACACGGAACGGCCAGCTCCTTGTTTGACTTGGATTCAGTTCATTGCAGGAGAGGAAATGAGCCAACGAAATATTCTTCAGTTCTCGAGCTATCGAGCGATGCTGTGTCAGAATGGACAAGCTCCCGGGCGAGCTTATGGGGAAGATACCTCCTTTTGCGTTGCGGAAAATTTCCGAAGAGAATATTTCTCCAGCAATTCTGTTACCTTAGACGCGAAAAGCGAGAATTATATGAGCCTGGGTTCAAAAGTTTGCAACAAACTCTGGTGACAGAGATTGGAAGGGAGGAACCCAGACACAAAAAAAGTCCATTCTAACCTAAAAATAAGATTTTTTGTGAGAAGGACGGGAAACTGGAGAAATTTTTTAACACACTACCTGACTCAGATTCCTGCCATTTTTTTTCTTTTATGAAATGTGAGCCAATAGCACAGTGTTTAGTCTTCATATGCAGCAGCAGTAACTTCGATGAAGATATTCTTTGGGGCCATATCAGGTTCTAGGCTGAAAAAGAAGTTTAGCCAAATTTACTTATAAATTAGTTATTATGAAAGTACAAAAGTATTATTTTATATATTAGAAGATGGAGCGATATATTGATTTATAACTTCTTGATTTCAATGAAGAGCTCTTGATCCAAAGCTCTGAAATTCTCCCTCATCTCTTCTGTGGATCGAACCTGACCCACTATTTGGCGAGATTCCACATGAGTGTAGTAATAATATAGGTAACCTTCAATATATAATATGGGATAAGGCGTATATAAAATCTGTTGTGGTATTTTCATTACTAGACACAATCGTCCAGGCAACAGCGTGTCAGTCATCACTTTCCAACGTGAACGATGACTTAAGGGAAGGTTATCACCTTTATTTCAACAAAGTCTATCACTCGAAACACTACTGCAACACCTCTACATTTCACCTCTCAACTACATCATCACCTCTACCATAATACCTATAAAACTCTGCTACTCACTTCAACTCCTTAGCATCTCGGCTAAACCCGTATGGGTTTAGCGTTTCACATTATTAATATTTTAAAAAAATATCAACACATCCATATCTAACTAGTGCACTACAGCACCTCAACAAGTCAGCTTTTCACTGCAACACTTCAGCAACACAGCTATTCATAGTAATTCGGCCCATTTCTTCAAAACCTCAGCCACCTCTCACTATCGTCCCATTGCTCTGACCAGCGTAATCTGCCAGGTGATGGAATGATTGGCGAATTGACAGCTGCTATGGTATTTAGAGGCTCACAATTATCTTTCTCCTCACCAAAATGGCTTTCGCAAAGGCCCCTCTGCTTTGGACCCCTTGCTCCACTTAGATACATATGTGAAAAATGCCTTTGCTAATAATCACTCCGTCCTAGCAGTCTTTTTTTTTTTATCTCGAGAATTCATATGACAAAACTTGGAGGTATAACATGTTAATCCAGGCCAACTCCTTAGGCCTCCGCTGTAATCTACCAACCTTCCTTGCTGCTTTCTTATCTGAAAGACATTTCCGTGTCCGTGTTGGCGCCTCGCTTTCCTCAGACTTTCTTCAGACCGAGGGTGTCCCACAAGGTAGTGTCCATAGCACTATCCTTTTTCTCTTGGCTATAAATGCCCTACCTTCCGTTCATCCATCACATATTTAGTCATCACTTTATGTGGATGACTTCGCTATAGCTTACGCAAGCGCTGACTGTCGCCTGGTAGCGGCCTCCCTTCAGGATGCGATTAACCATGTTTCCCATTGAGCCACTTCTCATGGATTTAAATTTTCCAGTGCGAAAATTCATTTCATTACCTTCAATGGACGTTTTCTTGTCGCAGATATTTAATTGTATTTACAGGGCTCACGTATCTCAGAATGTGATACTATCAAGTTTCTTGGCCTTGTTTTCGATCGCTGGTTAACATGGAAACATCACATTTCCTCTTTGAAGGCAGCTTGCCATGGTGGCTGAATCTCCTTAAAATTCTTGCGTATTGTTCATGGGGAGCAGATCGCCGGACTCTCCTCCATTTGTATTCCACCCTAGTCTTGTCCAAACTGGATTATGACGAACAAGTCTATTTTGCAGCTTTTCCTACCACTCTTTCTAAATTAGATCTCCTTCATCATCAGGGTCTAAGTTTATGCCTTGGTGCCTTTCATTCATCCACTTCTGAAAGCCTCTATGCTGAGACGAATGTTCCTTCCTTAGCCGATCGTCGTGATGCTCAATGCCTTCGTTACTTTGTCCGCTCTCATAGCCTTCATGTTTCTTCTACGTATAGGTTAGTCTCAGACGTTAGTAGAAGCACATTATTTGTTCGGCGCCCCTGCTTACTCTGACTGTTTCCTCATCATCACTCACTGCGGTCTTCTCTCCAGTTGTCTCCCGTGGATATCCATGTAGCGTCTGCCTTTTCCCTTTCTCTTGGGAGGTTCCGACGGTTCTGTCTGTTCTCCCCTACTGCCGTGTGCCTAAGTTCTCCTACCTATGGCTGCTTCTCGCTCTCATTTTCTTCATCACTTCCGGTCGCATGCTCATACCGTCGCTGTTTATAGAGATGGTTCTAGATCTTCTGACGGTGCTGGGTTCACGGCGGTATTTCCTGACGATGTTGTCCAGGGTCATTTGTTAGTCTCAGCTAGTATTTTTACCGTCGAGTTGTACTCTATTCTCTTAGCGCTTCTCCGTATTACATATGTCTCCTTCGACGTTTGCGATCATTTCCGATTCCCTCAGCGTTTTATAGGCGATCAAACAATTTGATTCCGCTCATCCATTGGTCCTTCGTATTCAGTTTTGGTTGCGCCGTGTTGCTAGCAAAAACAAAGACGTCGTTTTCTGTTGGGTCCTGGACACGTTGATGTGCAGGACAGTGAACAGGTGGATGCTGCTTCGCGGTCAGCGGTCCGTTCAAGGATTATTTTCCAGTCATCTCTGTCCGTCTTCGCGGCCTTTGACAACAATGGTGGTCGGACATTCACCATAACAAATTGCACTCTATTACACCGCTTTTAGGTTTATGGGCATCTTCTTACCACCGTTGCCGTACTCGGGGAGAGTGCACTCTTGCTTCTCCGCATTAGCCATACTCGCCTTACCCATGGGTATATCATGGAATGACACCCTATTGCTCTCTGTGAGGTTTGTCGGGTCCCTATTTCGGTTCTTCACTTTCGTGTGGATTATCCGGTTTACCAGCGAGCTCTCAGGATTTACCTCCAACGACGCCGCCGCCCTACCGCTCTTAGTTTGCCTTAGACTTACAATCACTTTTTTACTTTTTGCCAGCAACTGCTTTACTATACGAACTTTGACACGCAGCCCTTAACGTCCCTTCCAGCCCTTTTCTCCCTTCACCTCTGATCCCCTCTCCACCTAGCTGTTTATAGCTCCGACACTATTTTCTGCCCTACGGAGCTGCATGATCCTTCTCGGTTTAGCGTTTTATTTGATTATAATAACACTTCAGTCACAACTACCACCTTTATTGTATAATAAATACTCTTAATCGATCTCCATATTGCGCAATGAACTATGACCTAAAATTCTCCATTGTGCCCTCAACTCCTTTCCTGTGCTCCCAGCCCCTGTATTGTGATCCGAACCCTCCATTGTGACCCCAGCACTTACATTGTTACTCCAGGCCCCTCCACTGCAATCTCAACTGTTCATTGCTCGTAGCATTGTCCTGTGGCTCGATCGCTAGTGCACTCAGTTTACACACTGAGATCCGGAGTTCAAATCTCCTCCGGTACGGCTGGAAAACATTAGGGACGTGTTTCCATAGGACACCTGCTGTCTCTGTCCCTGTTCCTGTTCACCCATCAGTTTAAAATGAGTAACTGGGTGTTAGCCGACTCGTGTGGGTCGCATCCTGGGACAAAATTGACCTAATTTGCCCGAAATGCTCAACATAACAAGCGGCTTTCTATACAGTAGTATGTCACTGATGTCAGCTAGGCCTGTATACCTTGTACATGTACTTGTAGCAAATGAAGATATTATTGTGTCCCTAGCTCTTCTCTATGGCCCCATTCCCTCCACCATGATTTTTAAGTTTCCAGTGTGATCTCTAGGCCCTCCTTTGTGACCCTAGCCCCTTTACGGTAACTTGAGCCCCACTACTGTGACCCCAGCCTCTCGGCCGTGACTCCAGGGCCTTCACAATGACCCCAGTCCCTTTACCCCAGCCCCTCCATTGTAATCGCTCAACTTCCATCACCCTCCCTCCCTCCATGGGGGCTTATCTTGTGGCAATAGAGAGACCCTTACCCAGTAGACCAGTTATCACAGTCAGCACCCACCTACAGGAGAGGTGGGTAGCCATCTCTTGCTTCTCCTTCACCAGTATAGACTTTTAGCCATTTTTCTTGCTATAGTTATGCCTCTGGAACAGTTTTGAATCGCATGTGTATATTTTTATAAATGTGATTCCTTATTATCCTAAGTGTTTCAATATTTGTGTACAATAATTTATCTTGTACATCCCGAAAAGATATTAAAGAGCGTCGTTTCATAAAACTTAATGAAAAGTAGTGATTTGACGGCTTTCTGTCATTTTTAATAAGGTTTGCAATGGCACTAACAATGTACGGTAAACTACTCTACCTCACTCTTGCGATCACCTGCCTGGATGCTGTCCTGGTGGGTGCGAGTGGCGAACAAGACGTGGCTCGCGAAGATTCACCCTTACTGCAAGATAACACCTTTTCCATGCTGCAGGAAGGCATTTCGCCAATGCTCCTCCTTCCATCAATTCCCTTGCTGCAAGAGTCTCTGCCGCAGGAGCAGCGTCGACTGAAGGAAGACGAAGAAGATGAGAAAGAGGTGGCTGCGCCAGGGATAACATGGGACGACATCCTCACCATCTGGGATACCATCAAGTCATTCTATCTCCCACAAAAGAAATACATCGACAACGATGAGTGTGTAAAAGACGTATCTGACAGGAGCTTTATTTTCAAGTATAACAAGTTGTGGATGTTCCAAAGTAAGTATTTGACGTTTTATACATCTCTGCAGTTTTGTTTGAATGTCATATGTCAAAGGACAGAGCTGCCAACACTAGCAGACTTTGTCTGAAATTATACCTATCTTTAATTTGTTTAATTAAATATAGCTTATTAATCCTGTATATGTCGTCACGTGAGGTCACAGACCCTGAGCTGCCTTGGGGATTAGTGTGGACGGTTACAAAGCATGGCTTGCTTCTGCAGTGTTTTAAAAATTGGGGTTGGAGAGTTCAAGGAGGAGGTCTTGCTTCTCCAGGAGGAGATTAGGAGGCTGAAGGTCCACCTCAATGGGGCTGGGAGAGAGTGTGAGGTGGCTGGAGTTGTGGGGAATGAGGCTTCTAGCAGCGAGGTGCAGTCTGTCTCTCGCTGTGAGGAGGCTGTAGTTGGGGTGGCAGCAACGGCTACCAGCAGTGAGGTGCAGCCCAGCACCTGCTACAAGTGGCGAGTAGTTCACAGTAATGGAAGGCGCATCAGAGTAAGGAAAGTTAAGAGTGAAGATCTGAAGGTAGGAAATCGCTTCTCTGTTCTTCAGGATGAATGTACTTCAGTGGCCAGTGAAGGTAAGGGTACTACTGCCCCTGCTAATGGAGGTAAGCGCATTCTTGTGGTTGGTGACTCTCAGGTAAGATACATTGACCGTGCTTTTTGTAATAGGAATAAGAAGATGAGAGATAGAGTGTGCTTCCCTGGAGCTGGTGTTGGAGACATTGTCAACAGGCTGGATAATATCATGTCAGGTAATGGGAGCAAGCCCATTATCTGTCTCAGTGCTGGTGGAAATGATATTGGGAAGGGTAGGAGAGAAGAGCTGCTAGATAAGTACAGGTCAGCTATAGATTTCATTAAGTCTAAGGGAGGGATCCCAATCATATGTAGCATCTTGCCTAGAAGGGGAGTAGGAAATGAATGGTTGTCTAGGGCAATTGGTGTAAATTGCTGGCTAGACAGATACTGCAAGGAACATGCAATCCCATTCATTGACAACTGGAACAACTTTTATGGCAAACATGATATGTATGCAAGGGATGGGGTACATCTCTCTGGGGCTGGGGTGGTAGCACTTGCAGACTCGATTGAGAAGGCCATTGGTGAAATGCCTATGATTTTAAACTGATGGAAGATAGAGGTATGGGTGTGTGTGGGAAACAAGCAGGTTGCAACACTTGGGTTGGAAACAGTAAATGTATAAAAGGCATTCAGCATGAAGTTATAAATAAAGACAATAGATCAGGTCAGCAAACAAAGGGGGACAGCAGAGGGCAGCAAGGGACTAGCTCCCTTAAGGTTTACTATACTAATAGCAGGAGTGTAAGAAATAAGATAGATGAGCTAAGATTAATTGCAAGTGCAGGAGACATAGATATTATTGCTATAACAGAGACCTGGCTCAATCTGAAAGATAGAGAGATGCCCTCTGAATGTCACATACAAGGCTATAAATTATTCCACACTGACAGGGTCAACAGGAAAGGTGGTGGAGTAGCGATGTATGTCAGAGACAATTTAAATTGTTGTGTTAGACAAGATATTAAATTAGAAGCGTCAGCCACTGAATCTGTTTGGTTACAGCTTCTCGAGGGCCGAGAAAAACTAATTTTGGGTGTGATTTACAGGGCCCCAAATCTTGATAGGGAGTGCAGTAAACTTCTATGGGACGAAATTCGTAAGGCATCTACATACGAAAATGTTGTGCTAATGGGAGATTTCAACTATAGACAGATTGACTGGAGCAATTTGACAGGAAATTTAGAGTCAGGTGACTTTCTTGATACGATCCAGGATTGTTTTTTAAAACAGTTTGTGACAGAGCCAACTAGGGGAAATAACCTCCTTGACTTGGTTCTTGCCAGTAGGGAAACACTAATTAATAATCTTGAGGTTAATGATGAGCTTGGGGAAAGTGATCACAAATCACTCAGTTTTAATATATCATGGAATTCCCCTAATAATGGCAATCAAGTCTCCGTCCCTGACTTTCGCTTGGCTGATTTCATAGGACTGAAAAATTACTTAGGTGGGCTGAACTGGAATGACCTGACTAAAGGTCAGGTAGGTGGTGATGGTTGCCGATATGATGCTTTCCAGGGCATAGTTCTAGCTGCTCAGTCAAATTATGTTCCAAATAGGGAAATCAGATCAAACAAAAATGATCCTAAATGGATGAACAATAGATTAAAATATCTGATTGGTCAAAAGAGAGGCATATATAGGCAAATCAAAAGAGGAGAGGGGCAATTGAGAAATCGATATATTCAGTTAAGAGAGAAATAAAAAAGGGAATTAGAAAAGCAAAAAGAGATTATGAGGTTAAAGTTGCAAGAGAATCGAAGACTAACCCAAAAGGATTCTTTCAGGTATACAGAAGTAAGATCAGGGACAAGATAGGCCCACTCAAAAGTTCCTCGGGTCAGCTCACTGACAGTGATAAGGAAATGTGTAGAATTTTTAACACATACTTCCTCTCAGTTTTTACACAGGAGGATACCAGCGATATTCCAGTAATGATAAATTATGTAGAACAGGACGATAATAAACTGTGTACTATTAGGGTCACAAGTGACATGGTCCTTAGGCAAATAGATAAATTAAAACCTAACAAATCCCCAGGCCCTGATGAACTGTATGCAAGGGTTCTAAAGGAATGTAAAGAGGAGCTTAGCACACCTTTGGCTAATCTTTTCAACATATCACTACAAACTGGCATGGTGCCAGATAAGTGGAAAATGGCAAATGTGATACCTATTTTCAAAACAGGTGACAGGTCCTTAGCTTCGAACTATAGACCAATAAGCCTAACCTCCATAGTGGGAAAATTTATGGAATCAATAATTGCCGAGGCAGTTCGTAGCCACCTTGAAAAGCATAAATTAATCAACGAATCTCAGCATGGTTTTACAAAGGGGCGTTCCTGCCTTACGAATTTATTAACTTTTTTCACAAAGGTATTTGAGGAGGTAGATCATGGTAATGAATATGATATTGTGTATATGGACTTCAGTAAGGCTTTTGACATGGTCCCACATCAGAGACTATTGAGGAAAATTAAAGCACATGGAATAGGAGGAGAAATTTTTTCCTGGATAGAGGCATGGTTGACAAATAGGCAGCAGAGAGTTTGCATAAATGGGGAGAAATCAGAGTGGGGAAGTGTCACGAGCGGTGTTCCACAGGGGTCAGTGTTGGGCCCCCTGCTGTTCACAATCTACATAAACGACATAGATGAGGGCATAAAGAGCGACATCGGCAAGTTTGCCGATGACACCAAAATAGGCCGTCGAATTCATTCTGACGAGGACATTCGAGCACTCCAGGAAGATTTGAATAGACTGATGCAGTGGTCGGAGAAGTGGCAGATGCAGTTTAATATAGACAAATGCAAAGTTCTAAATGTTGGACAGGACAATAATCATGCCACATATAAGCTAAATAATGTAGATCTTAATATTACGGATTGCGAAAAAGATTTAGGAGTTCTGGTTAGCAGTAATCTGAAACCAAGACAACAGTGCATAAGTGTTCGCAATAAAGCTAATAGAATCCTTGGCTTCATATCAAGAAGCATAAATAATAGGAGTCCTCAGGTTGTTCTTCAACTCTATACATCCTTGGTTAGGCCTCATTTAGATTATGCTGCACAGTTTTGGTCACCTTATTACAGAATGGATATAAATTCTCTGGAAAATGTACAAAGGAGGATGACAAAGTTGATCCCATGTATCAGAAACCTTCCCTATGAGGATAGACTAAGGGCCTGAATCTGCACTCTCTAGAAAGACGTAGAATTAGGGGGGATATGATTGAGGTGTATAAATGGAAGACAGGAATAAATAAAGGGGATGTAAATAGTGTGCTGAAAATATCTAGCCTAGACAGGACTCGCAGCAATGGTTTTAAGTTGGAAAAATTCAGATTCAGGAAGGATATAGGAAAGTACTGGTTTGGTAATAGAGTTGTGGATGAGTGGAACAAACTCCCAAGTACCGTTATAGAGGCCAGAACGTTGTGTAGCTTTAAAAATAGGTTGGATAAATACATGAGTGGATGTGGGTGGGTGTGAGTTAGACCTGATAGCTTGTGCTACCAGGTCGGTTGCCGTGTTCCTCCCTTAAGTCAATGTGACCTGACCTGACTAGGTTGGGTGCATTGGCTTAAGCCGGTAGGAGACTTGGACCTGCCTCGCATGGGCCAGTAGGCCTTCTGCAGTGTTCCTTCGTTCTTATGTTCTTATGTTCTTATATATAAATTTCTTGATATGCTGAGTGTTGCAAAGCCTTCCACGCCTTCTTGTAGTTTTTGTAAGTCAAATATCATTAATATCCTCTTCATTAGGTTCCCAATGAAGACTTACGAGTGGTTGCCAGAATTTTTTTCTTTCTCTAAGTATTCGACTTTATTTCGCTCATAACTCGAGAACTTCTCATCCGTTTGGCTTGAAATTTTGAATGTTTGTGTCAGTTGTTCCACGAACAACTGACATGTGGACGTTCCCTATCACCAGAGTTGCTGAACCCATTCCCAACATCTTTGAATAACTTCTATAACTTCAAAAGCTATCTGTGATGCTGCTTCAAACCTTCATAAATGGTGTCTTCGAAATCGACAACGGTGGAGAGTGAAATTCATGTGTGCTGGTGAAGATTTACTCATTTTATGTGCAAAATCGTGAGAGATTTTGACTCTCGTTTAATAATCACATTCAGAATATTTGAGTGTACTTTTTCTGAATGGTTTCAAAATTAAATGGCTGATGCATCTTGTGACAAGGACATTACCCACTCAGTTTAGTTCATATGTGGACAAATTTGGCAGTGCCATTAATTTTTTTCTCAGTATTTGGTATCACTGGGAGTTTCTTGTTTTGGCACATTGAATTATCTTACTAACTCGAAATCCATTTTTTCCCCTGAATGGATTTTAGAGAATTTTAAAATTAATACAATTACAAAAACAACAAAAAAAAATTTAGAAATATTGAAAA